CCTTTTTACTCTGCTCATGTATGATTGTGCAGCTACCCATCCAGGCTGTCACTTTGTAAAGTTTGCAGATGATACAGCGGTGGTGGGATGCATCACAAACAATGATGAGTCCAGCTACAGGCAGGAGGTGGAACACCTGGAGAGCAGGTGCAAAGAGAACAACCTTCACATCAATGTGAAGAAGACAAAGGAGATGATTGTGGACTTCAGAAGGAACAAACACACCTACACCCCCCTGAACATAAGAGGATCTGCGGTGGAAGTGGTCTCCAGCTACAAGTACTTGGGTGTACACATGAATGACAACCTCAGCTGGAGCAACAACACCACCAGCTTGATCAAGAAAGTTCATCAGACTCTATTTCCTCAGGCGGCTGAGACGAGCTGGTCTGGGAAATTCCTTCTACATGTGTGCAGTGGAGAGCATCCTATGCTCCAGCATCAACATGTGGCATGGAGGCTGCACAGCTGCAGAAAGAAAAGCTTTGCAGAGAGTGGTGAAGGCTGCACAGAAGACAGTTGGAGTCAGCCTCTCCACCATCACAGACATCTACACCTCCAGATGTAGGAAGAGGGCCACCTGCATCATGAAGGACCTCACTCACCAAGCACACACACTTTTTGCCTCGCTCCCCTCAGGAAGGAGGTTGAGGAGCATTAAGTGCAGAACCACTAGACTGAGGAACAGCTTCTACCCTGAGGCTGTTAGACTCATGAATCAACAAACCAGAATAATCACTGTGAAAAAATGACATGTTGCTGCTATCTGTTTCATGTTGATGTGTTCCTACATGCTCATCCGCTCACACAGACTCATGTTCATGTTTGTGCTGATGTTCGACGTAATGTTTTTATGCTATTAGTGCTTAGTGTATTTTTAGTTGATGTTTTTCTTATTTCAGATCTTAGATGTTATCATTGTTTTTCTTATACATTTTATTGTTGGATGTAACTGGGACACTGTGTACATCATTTCGCTCCACCACATGTACCACATGTGGTGCGAATGACAATAAAGAATCTCTGACTCTGACATGACAGTATTAAAAGTACATAGTATAGTGTACATGACCGTATTAAAAGTATACAATATACTTTGTACATGATGGTAGTTAAAGTACACAGTATAGTGTTCTCTAACGAAGCGCCATCAAGACAAACATTCTGACTGAGAGAAGGTTTGAACAACTTTTGTCTAGTTTACTTTTAGAGGGGTTGTCAGATATATTTTCATAAATTATAGAACATGAAGTCCTTTGCAGAATATAAATTAACTTAAATTTTGGGGCAGCTGTGGCTGAGTGGTTAGAGCAGCCGTCCTCCAGTGGGAGAGTCGGGGGTTCAATTCCACCAGCAGTCACATGCTGAAGTGTCTGGGCAAGACACTGAACCCCTCACTGCCTCCGATGTGTGTCCCATTGGTGTATGAATGTGATCTAAAGCAGTGGTCCCCAACCTTTATTGAGCAATGGACTGGTTTGATGTGAGACATTATTTGGGGGAGCGTGGTCTGGGGTCCTCCCCCACATAATTTTGAATAAAGTAGATGCCATTTCCTGTATTCTGGTGTATTTTATGAATGTTTATTACAGTGGATTAACACAAAACAAAAAATGTAAATCAGTGCTTAATCTGAGCCGGATTCTGCCGGAACATAATCCTGAAACTCTCTTATTTTGACAGGCTGTGTTCTGGCAACTGTTTGCTTGGATCTGCAACTCAAATCTCTGCCCCTAAAAGTCCAAAGTCATCAGGTATTTTTATTTTGATTATTTATTAAAAATACAACAAGAGGAGACGTTGCCCTTAGCCCGGCGGACTCAGTCTGTGGAGTGGATGTTCCAGCCGAAGCATGCACGGCTCACCAGCTTGCTCACACGATCCTGCCCAGCAGAGACGCAGATGGCATGTCATATGGGGATGAAGTGTTTTTATCCCACTCCTTTTGCGGTGCGCCCTGCGGACAGTGCACATTACGCACAGGAGCATTTCCAGACAGCTCTGCATGTGCACAACTGCTGATGTGTCTGAACTCCTGCATTTCAGACATAATAAATAAAAAAGCTTATAGTAAAAAAAAAAAATGAGAGAAATGTTTAATGTATTATTCACATTAATCACGTATCATGCTAAAAAGTAGTTTCCTTAAATGATTGGGGTGGCCCTTGGGTTGGCCAAAGATTATCCAAGGCCACCACTGGCCACCCTCTAGCTGAGCCATTGCACTTGGTGGTGAATAAAGTTACTCTCGCCACTTGCCTGGATCCATCACTCTGCACTGCCATGGACAAGCCAAAATAAAAACCTCTCTCTGTTCTTCTCCACAGTGGAACTCCTACCCACTTGAATATTTTGCACCAAAAACATTAAGGTTTACTAACTCTCTGTTCAATTCCAGTTCAGAAAAACACTCATCTTGAAAACATTCACCATCAAATCCCTCAGCGACAAGGGACATCAACATTCATTCATTCATTCAACCTATGTTTAGACAGATAGGTCACACTGAGCCTCAAAGACTCATTTACAAGTGAGATCTGTTTAGACAGACAATAAAAGTAGTGAAACTGGACACATGTAGGAATTGGAGGTGAAAAAATTCCTATCAGACTTTTTTTTCCTGCCTGAGAAGAAAAAACTGACATTAAAAAACACCTTGCACAAACAAGCACATAGTGATGTAGGCATTCTGCAGGGGGGGGGGGGGGACGAGAGCGGTGAGCAATGTCCATGGATGCTCTCGAGGGCACTGTAAGAGTTCTGATAAAGATGTAATTATCAGCCAGTTCCCTCCGGTGAGATCTGTAAACATTCTCGAGGGATGTCGAGGAATGGCCAAGAAGAACGTCTATGAGAATCCAAGAGTCCTGAAATGATGACACAATGTTTATTCAACTGGTTTCTTCTGGTTATCAGTTGGAAATTCCTCAGGGAGTGGGTGGTGAGCGTCAGATCACATTTTCTCCAGGCAAATTCAGATAAGATGGCCTTCAAAGCCAGCCAAGGGAGCCAAATTCAGATAAACACACAGTTGTTTTGGGGACAGGCAGAACTTAATGACATCTACCTTGAGTCTGTGTTGGTCCAAACGGTTCCAAAATGTCCAAATTACATGGCCACACCAATGGAACGTGACTGAGTAAAATCCCCGAGATCTGATCCATTCTGCCCAAAGCATTTGAGTCTGGGTACTCGAGGCACGAACCAAGCCATCATAAAGGCAAGCAGCGTGATCGGGTCCAAATTTGCTGCCGACGACTTCCTTCCATCTGGAAGCAGGTTTCTGCAGCCCAGATGTAGAACAAACAGATTGAAAAACTATTTCATCCCTGTAGCAATCTGGCTTCTCAATGAACACTAATTTCAATAATGTTACTTTAATGTCTTAATGTCTTGTGTATATATATATGTATGCGTATGTATATATGTGTATGTGTGTGTATGTGCATGTGTGTGTATATGTACACATCTACTGACTGTGACACTAATTGCCCCTTGGGGATAATAAAGATACTTTAACTTGAACTTGATTGTAGATAAAACCAGCAGCCAGCCGAATCCAAAAAGCGGGAACCAGTTATTGTAAATCCAATTAAATATGTGTTTTAAAATCCACAAATGGCAGCAGAAACAGACACATCATCAAGTCTTCGAAGTCGATGAGATATCCAGCTGCGTGCATGCCAACAGGACAAATCGGCTCGCCTAAAGCCTGTCTTCTCTTCGAAGAAATGTTATCAATTGTGTTGAGAGACCAACTGATCAAAACAAGTCCATAATTATGGTTCAGAAGATATGAAAGACAGGCTCAGAAGCAGTTTCACAGACAGACAGAGCAGCAAAGCAGAGAGGGAGGGAAGGGGAGAAGTGTCCGACCTCAGCAAGAGCAAGTGGTGAAGTGACATCAACATACTGCTTGTTACCTGTAGTAATGAACTCTGTTCATGTTGGCTGACACAGCTAATCAACTTAAGACGACAAAAAGCTTGAACTCAACCAGTTTTATAGGTAATGAGCTAAAAATTGAAGCTGTAACTGAAAGTGCTTCACAAGATGTTTTGAAGAGTGAGCCATCTTACAGTAATTTACAAGCTTTACCCAAATGACTGACACTCCCCCTCTCAACACATGAGCTGAGTCTAAAGAGAGCCGGAGCAACACGCACACCTTTGTGGAATGCAAGGCCTTTCATTTTAAAGAAGCTAACCTTGAGAAGTTAGGATTAGGAGTTTAACTCCTGCACAGACCTCCCCCCCCATCCCCCCGACCTCTTCCCAGGAGGATTGGGGTGAAAACTTGAGTGATGCCCCCCCACCCACCCACCCCGTCACAGAGCAGCCCTCTCACTTTTTTGACACCAGCCTTCCAGTGAAGCTCCCAGTGGGAACTCCCTGCCATTCAGAGAGCTGGTTCTTCCACAGAAGTGCAGGAAGGCTGCAGGTTTGGTGAGGGGAAGTGCTCCAGTAAAACAGGCGTTATGGGTTAAAATGGTCCGTGTTCTCCACTGTGGCTGCAACACATGAGGCAGGTGGTAATGTTTTCTCACTGTTAAAGTTCATATACTTGTTTAAATGATAAAATAAATGATTCTGAACTCTGATAAACTACCGGTACCATCCAGTTACTGGGGTGTGGCTCTTTTCAGTCACAGTCATAATTATCCATTAATAAATTAAACTCTTGTTTGATAAGAGGTCAGTGATTGGCAGCTGTGCACTGTACAAAGTGAAAAGTGAAGTCATACAGAGAGTGACAGCGTGTTGAAAACATGAGAATAGTTCTAGCCCAGATGTGTCAGCAGCCTTCCGCCTCTGACGTTACATCTGATAACACCAAGCAGCAACACAAGGTGTCAACTGAACTCAAGACCAAAAACTTTTACACACAAGCTGGCTTCATTATCTCCATGAAACACAATCCAACCTGCACCCCCCCCCCCCCCCCCACACACACACACACACAGAGAAGTCTCTCTGATGATGGAGCTACGTGTCACTTACTTTAGGAAACTGCTTGACGGGTATTAAAACTTTCTGGCCCAGTTTCATGTTCTTGTTGATAACGACGTCGATGAATTTCTCCTCGTCTTTGTCATCGTCTCTCTGGATTTTTTCGATTTCTAGAAAAAGAGGAGAAGAAGTCAGAGGTGGTTTCAGGCAGCACCTTTGGTGGCTTCGACAGGTACAGTTGGATTTTTAACAGTCAAGTGGATTTAATGCAGTGGGGACACCTCTGGGTCTTCACCACCTTCAGAAAAGGCCAAAGAATTCAGCAAATGTTACATTTAAATTTTAAATTCAATATTTATTTGATCAAAAAACAATCAGTTGCATTCATCGTGCACGCAGCGTCTGCATGAGAGTTAGTCCAAACTGATGAACACACTAACGTCTCTTTGGAGCCTGGATTTTATTAGTTTTGCTCCTACATGATGAAAAAGGGTGAGCAGAACAAAAACACTCTTCTCTCTGCTGTTTATTATAACTGTTGTTATTTATTATAACTGTTGTTATTTATTATAACTGTTGTTATTTATTATAACTGTTGTTATTTATTATAACTGTTGTTATATATTATAACTGTTGTTATTTATTAAAAATGTTGTTAGAGCAGAAAAACTTTGGATTGCAGCTGCCTGGAGTGTGCATGTGCCATTTCACACTCGCAAAGAATTTCACACTTCCATGGGGGGTTCTCCCAAAAATATAGGCTATTTAATAGGGACTTTTTGTTATTTATTTATTTATTATATAATAATATAATAGAGACCTGGATTCAGAAACCTTCAGTTTCAGAGAGAATGAGGCTGTTGTCTGTAAATGAACAAACATTTCATGTCATGTAAATGAGGCCTCAGACTGGCTGCCCTGTCTGTCAATCAAGAAACTATTTTCATAGATCGACGATCGGCTGACGGCTATTTTTTATGCCATGCCATCTACCCTGAATACTTTGAGATCGATCGGCAGATCACAACTGACGTATTGGGCACGGCTGGTGTAGAAGCACAGAGGGAGGTTCTTTTATTTATTTATTTGTATTTTTTGCTTGTCCAAGGCAACGGTGAGTGGAGGAAGCAATTTTATTCACTACCAGGTGTAGTGGTGGAGGCAGAGTGTGGTCAATGGTGGCACTGGCCCCATAGATTAATCTTCAGCCACCCCAGTCATTAGAAAAAACTAAACTTTTAAGCAATAAAGTAACTAGAAGCAGAGTTTCCTCAAATCATTGGGGTGATCAGTTTACACATATACATATTTGGTGGCAGCCATCTTGGATTTTAATGTGACAATTCAGTTTTGGAAAGGAACCTTTCTTGCACCAAAATGTAGCAACACATGGAAGTTGGTACCTCACTTATTTTTCCAAGTTATCGTGCTCAGAAGATGGATGGAAGGACAGATGAACGCTAATTCCCCTGTTTGCTCTGTGTTGGGGATATTGTGATATATTTAGAGATTTTAATCATTTTGTTATAGAATTTAGACACTAATTTTATCATATAGTTGAATCTTCAGCTGCAACTTTAAGAATATGTCCTTTTTCCACTACTAAAACCCGTTTTGACCAAGAAAACAAAAAGATGTTTCTCTGAATGAATGAAAATAAATGATCTTGGTAAACGTTGACACCGGAACAAAACAGCATGCCATGCTTTATTTAAAAACTAGTTGTAGTCAAAGTAATCCATAAATTATGATACTTTACTCAAAACTGAGTTGTGGGAGCTCGTATCAGTGTGACCTAAAGATCACAAACAAACCAAACAAAGATGTAACCCTTTACTGATCATAACAGAATAGTTAGTAGTTAATTGTTGCATTAGGTGATGAATTTTATATATATA